TTTTATTACTTAAAGATAATATAAGAGTAATATAATAAATTAATATTCTTATATATTTTTAAATTTTTTTTTAATAAATTTTTTTTTAATTAGATTATAGCAATTATCTATCCTAACCTTTTAACTATAAATAGAAATAAATAATCATTGTATAATTAATATTATAGAAGATATTGAATTTTAAAAAAGCTTTTATATTCTATAATTTATTAAAACCTTTATAATTATATTATTATGATTTTAGAATTTGAACAAGCTACTTTTATGCAAGTTGCAGTAATATAGATATGGTTAAGAGAAATTATTAATAAATTTTCTTTTAGTAAAAGAGAATTCAAAACTTTAATAGATAATAAATTGATAATTGATAAAAAGAAAATTTATAATCCAATTTTTATTTTTATTACTTTGTATTTGCATCTGTATTATTATTTGAAGAATTAATTTAATAAAATTATTACAAATTCAAGAAGATGCCTATTTTTATTTTATATATTATATTCAGATAAGATAATAATAAATTTGTGAATGAGTGGTTAAATTTTTAAAATAAGAAAAATACTTTTAAAGCAGAATCTTTAAATAAGTTAAATTTATTAAAATTTTATTGAGGTATTAGTAAATTATTTAACTTAGCAACTTTAGAAAGGGTGTAGTTTCTTATGAATAATATACATATAGAATGATATAATTGTTTATTACTAAGAAGATGATACAAATAATATAAATAATATAGTATTTAAGAAAAAATTGTATACAAAAGAATCAAAAATCTCATGATTCTTTAAAAATATATAATTGATTAAATGATGATATAGGTGATAATAATAATATTTTAAATGATAATAATGTGAATGTTGGTGAAATAATGAATGATTTAAAATAAACATTAGCAAGTATAATCGATGATATTAGTATTTTTTGATTCTGATTATTATAATTTGCAGATTCCTACTTTGCTTAAAATCTTTAATTCATAATTAATTGAAACGGCTTTAATTAGAGAAGTTAGTTCTATATTATAATAATACTTGTCTGTTATAAAATCTTTATTATGTGATTTATTATTAAATTGACCAATCAGAATTTTTAAAATTAATAAACTTAATAAGTAATTATTAATTAAAAAAGATTCGAAATAATTTTTAGTCTTAACATTACATTTTTTCCTATTTCATTTTTACTATAGGAACTTTTGATAAAATTTTTGTTAAACTTTCCATAAATGTTAATGATAATAAAAACTTCAATTATTATTAGTTGATTAATACTGGTAATGATCATCACCGGTGATAAATAGCAAACCTTAAATTTATTATTTTATTTATAATTATTAATTATCATGTATTAAAAATTATAAGCTTTAAATATAAATAGAATTGTATAAAGCTTCTTGTTATGTTCAAAGTTTATTTGCCTTGTATTAGAAAATCCTACAAATAAAACTGTTACTTATTTTTATCATGCTGAAATAACAATTATTCTAATGGTATATTAATATTAGATTACTTAAAAGTCAAATAATTTAAATAAATGATGAGCTTTTTGAAATGATTAATAAGAAAATTGGTAGTTACTACCAGAATTATTCTTTAGAAATATGCAAAGAAATTGATTACAAAAAGCAGGAGCTTTAATAATATTAATGAATCATTTTGAAAAATTAAGAGTAAGTTAAATTTCCTTTTTAATTTATGAATTTATATATTTATTATGGCTCAAAATGATCAATTATTATTAGTGATGTACTTTCAGGACTTTCTTTATTAAATAATATTTTAACACATGATTTAGCTTTTCTAGAAAGCCAGTAGATTTTTTGCAAGAAAATTTTGTTTCTTGAGGCCGCATTACGTTTAATTTCTCAGGATTAAGGCATTATAACATTTGAAGAAAAATATGGAATATAATGGCGATTTTGTACATAAAGCATAGTCTTTAAATAAATACAATAATAATTTTTATGAAATAATTTTAAATGAAAATTAATTTATTAAACACACTACAAAAACAGAACATTCTAGAAAAGGAATAAATTACATGTAATAATGATTCGTTTTTAAACTAATATAAAATTTAAAATCGAAATATTTCAATAATAAATAATAAGAAAAGAAGAAAAGAATTCGTGAAGAGGCAAAGACAGAGAAGAAAGTAATGTAGTAGTGACGGCATTAAATTACAATTAAAGAAACGAGCTAAACTTAAAACACTATATTTTTTAAATTACATCTGTTTAAGTAAGCGTCATTATCAAAAGCATTTATTTATAAACAAAAATGATACAGCTGTTTACAACCGGTGTCAATTTAAACAAAATAGCGAAACTCAATATTGTGAGTTTCGAAACTGAATTGTCTGTAATCCGCAATTCCGTAACCTTCCATAGTCAACCATACAAAATAAATAAAAAAGAACTTTGGTAACGTTCTTAAAAAACAATAAGAAATTACACTCTCAACCTCACTTCGAATTTACGATTAGAAAATATTCTAGAAGTTGTTCCTACGAAAAGAATACCCAGTAACTTCTCAAAAGCAAAAAAAACACATTCTTTCTAATTACCTTTAGAAAGTCTCCAAGAAGTTGTTCTACAAAATAAATTAAGAAAATAACAGAAAAATAATTAGTACATTATTGAATTTGAAAATAACAACTTACTTCTAAAACTAACCTTTCAAAGAAGTCCAAGACCGAAATCACCATTCCAAGAGATTGTCCTAAAACAAGAAGAACATTAACAACACTCTTGAAAGTAAAAGAATATCTATCATGCATTCTAGTAACATAAAAATATTGATTCCATACCTAAATATTAATAAGATAAAAGAATAATTATTGATATTGCATTATACTTCTTATTTATAGAAAGACTTCCAAAGCTTTTTTTATTTTTTATTTTGATAAAGTGGATATGAAATAATGAATTTTTATTTAGTTTAGCTTTCATTACGGAAATATAATCCTGAACATATCGGATTGATTTTAAGATTATTGTTGTTTCGGCTTTGAAGCGAATCTATGTTTTGACAAATTTTTCTATTTTTCTTCTTATAATATAGAATATCACTAATAGTCGATTTTAAGCCAATCAAATTCAAAGTAGTACAGGATCTAGGATAAGCACTTACACATGGGTACTGGTTAAAGATCCCCAAGAAAAAATATATTAATCTGAGCGATGTCTACATTGTTTTGTCTCGTTGAGAGGTTTAATCACCATACATCACATACTTTTCGACCAGCAGTCTATTTCTCCTCTTCCACATTATTTAAAACCCTTTCAGATTCGCGAGAAGCAGATAAAGCTATGCTCAATACATCAGCAAATGTTTTCACAAGAGAAGATATAAAGAAACTGAGAGTTAATTTCCAACCAGCTCAATCCGAGGACACCGTCATACCTAAATTTGCGGAAGTCGAAAATTTTCCGAAACAATACATTTGTCCCAAAATTAGTAAAACCATGCTCAAAGCTGGAAATATTAGCGAAATCTCGGATAAGAAAGTCCGAACATTTTTTAACAAACTGAATATTGTTGCGATAGGTTCTCCAGGGATGCCCTATTCTAGAACTGACTCATTGATTAGTGATTTGCTTCATGTTGTTGAGTTGAATGACTGGCCCTTGCAAGTCGAGTGAGTAATTATAGGTCTCAATACATGATTTCCTAACATTTACATTCTATCAAAATTTAGTCAACATCTGCCAAGAAAATTACACATTTTAAGTAATCCTTACGTTGAAACTATTCCTGGTTTTGTGGTTAGTAAGGAAAGAGCGACTATTGTAATTGCAGACGTATGTATATTTTTGTATATTTCTGATAGTGAGATAAGTCCATATCTTTGTTTACTCAAATAGCATTTTAACAGGATAAACACTTACTAAACATTGATCCCCTTCAAAATTTTGGAGAAACGCAAATCGCTGCCGAGATACTCGCCTGTGGAGATGAAAATAGACGTGAATTGGATACAGTTGTAATTACTGATCAGACCATGTTTGCCGTCCGCGTAATATCTACATATGTTACGTTTTACAAGACTGAAATTCCTGCAGGATATTGGGTAGAGCTTACTAAGGGTTTACCACAAGAACATTCAGTTGTGATTAATAGGTGGCCGGGTGAGAATAATAGGCGGTCTGGTCTCGATCTGCCACATCCAAATGGAAGAGAAGCAGTGTTAACAGCATTAATCAAAATTCGTCAATATTTTTTGCTGTATTAGCATGGTAGGATTAAGTATAGCTGTGCTTGGAAGCGCTTAGTGGCGTGTGCTTAATTATAGTGCGATTTATTGTAATAAAGAATTTCTGTGGTTTGCATATCCATTATTTTTTACTTTTCATGTGATGTTGACGTTAATTTTTGCCTTTCAGTTGAAATATCCAAGGAACTCAATTTTCATTAAAGTACAATAAGTACAACGGTTGGACTATGATATTTATTGTTACGTAAACGAATACAAGACAATGAATTTCCGGGAAAAATTTGAATCACATGACTGAAAATTCCGAGACCGGCGGTCACGATATTACATACAAAGTAAGAGTAGGCTGGTTTATTTGATTAATGGCCACGAGGATGTATCTTTCTTATTTTCGGAATGACGAAGCGTAGCAAGGAATTGAGGGTAAGTCCTGCATTCTCGTATTGCATGCTTTATGTTTAAAGATGATTAATCACTATCTTCATTGCGAAAAACAATCCCTAATTGATCTCTCAAATTTCCGCATCATCACCGTAGTATAGCACTTATTTTCGTAATTCCCGCATAAAAGATAAGTACAAAGTCGTTTATATTAATACAAATATTTTTTATATGTAAAGCAGGAATGTCAATTGGCCGGATTTCCATGATGCGATCATAATCTCTTGATTCGAATGGATATTTAATTCAATTTCTGGATCGTAGAGTATGTAAAGTTAGTATTAGTATTATTTACGTGTCGATTTCATACATCAACGCTAATTAAACTTACTTTTCAGATTGTTTTAGCGAATTCCTCTCAAATATAATGGAGTACTTGGTATATGTGATACAAGAGCAGAAGATTCTCTCGAACCGATCTACCAAATTATCCGCATCACGGTCGTAGTATAGAGCTTTTTCTCGAATTTTACCTCAATACCAGTCCATATGTGAAAGAACGTTGATCCAGATTTTCGTAACGTCCCCAGCATCACCCAGGAAAGTGGTCGCGAAAATTGATTACGAAATTGACTTATTATTATGCAGATCTAAATCACGCAAGCATTTTCATAATTTTAAAGTAATATTTTTTTTTTAAAAAAAATTATTTAATAATTGCTATAGAAATTAAATAAATTATTCCACGTTGTTTGAAAGTTCTTATATTGTGATAATTTTCTACATCACTAATCATTTTCTGATTTCCGTTCCAAATGGATTTTACATTTTTTATACATTTTAAATCATTCGGCTATCATTAAGAATATATTTTGCATTTCTATTAATTCATATTTCTTTTCACCTAGTTTTATTATAGGAAAATTTTAGAATATTTTTTAAATGTTATTTGGCGACCGAAGGTCGCCGGCTACGAAATGATTAGAATATCTAATGATATTGGCACCAATGTCATTAGATACTAATCATTTCGGAGCCTTTACTATCAAATCAGATTAAATACCTTTCAAAATAATTAAGATGTATTAAATGCTTGCAAGTACGAATCCAGGATAAATAATTTCCTTTTATTGCAATATTTTCATTCATTTTCTCCATTTCGTCATTTTATGGCCATAAGATAGTAAATATAATTGATTAATTTGTCGAGGAATAACTTTTTCAATGAAAATGTGATTGTTTTTTAGCATTTTTATATCGGCAACGATAATATATACATTGTTTAAAAGGATTATTGGGGTTTTAGCATTAAAAAACAAGTTTTTCCATTAAGATTTTTTTTTGTGGCAGCCTTGACAAAAATAAAAATGTATCGGAAAAAAAAATATAGGGAAAGAAAATTAAATAAAATAAATTACAAATACAACAAACAATAAAATATACTATATCGCAAAATAGTCTATTATTACATAATAATTTCATTACCACTTTCCTGGGTGATACTGGTACTAATGATTTTCGTGATGCGATCAAACTTGCCAATTCCAAGATTACGTCGTGTATATCGCTACGAGGTAAGTTTCACCAGCTGATCTACTTAAACCAAACTAGAAACCCAAACGAAAATTCTACTAAAATTTCAAACTTATCATTCCAATATAATCAATCAATCCACGAGAAGACCCTACAAAATAAAAAATGTACTGTATGTTATTTTATTGCTTGGATAGATTCTAATAGAGTGTTATCACAGTATTAACCGATTTTCCCAGCTTTATAGAGGAACAAAACTGACATATTATCATTCCCGACATTTGATACTCGACGAGAAAGTCTCGGAATATCTGATTCTAATAAAAGTTCTTGTTGCTGTATGGAATTGCATTAATATGGAGGTGTAAAGGTAAGATTATCGGAGACGTCGCTTGATTTTTATGTAATTCGGTTTCACAAGTCTTCTCTCTTGTAATTTGCTTCGAAATTTTGCAATATGCTCGAAATTCTGACTGTGGCTTCATTTAACCGAAATAATTTCTCTCAATGAGGATGGGTAGGAATTATTGTACATCTATAGAAAGGATCTTTATTGGCAATTTTTGTTTTGGAATTTGGTAGAAACTGACTATGGATAGAAAATTTTTTATTAGCATGGTTCCCAAGGGAATCGCATTTCAGATAGGAAAATCAATAATTATATTAGTAACTCATCTAGAGTAACTCATCTAGCGGGCCAAAGAATATGGATGCATTTCGCCAGAGCATAAATTCCTTGGCAGGCATTGGATTCTGTGCTTTATGTTTCTTTGGAAACTTCTTCCCATGCAAGCCCACGAAATATTTTTATTTTGTATAAATTCTAGTATTAGCCGAAGTGCTTAATATTATTGAAAAATTAAAGTTTGGTACTTATGCATCGTATAAAAAAACATGTATGTAATGATCACGGATGGATCTCAAAGCATTTAATGTTTTGAGTTTACTAAATAGACCAATCAATTCTCCTAGATGAGATGCTCTGGAATAACTATATGTGGTCAAGCGTAATACAATTCTCTTCGTTTTTTTTTTGATCTTGTCACGCACGCATTAACTGCTTTTCAAGTTCTTCCGTACGTATCTTTGTAAATGTATTTTATGTGTCGTGCATGTTGTTTACCTTGTACCTTAATGGCAAATGCATGCCGTGGTAATAGATGTCAAGTTCTGGTCCTCGAGGATATTCAGGTTTTTTCAAGAAATCTGGATTGTGGATGTCAGAAGGCAAGCAAATAATTTTAGTTATGACTTCGCAAAATAAGCTTTCGTGTTTATTTAAGTAATATGGACACCATGCATGTCTTAGAGTACTTTAAAAAATTAAAACTCGAAAATTAATTATAACCCTTATTACACATCTATTGCATCGGAATACAGAGTTTTATATATTCTGTAGAAAGGCAATTTCCTTAGCTTACTTAAGTTCACAAGGAAAATGTCCAGCACATTGTCTTCTCATATTTTTTTTATTCAATAATGAGTTGTAGACATGACCTTTGGAATAGTTGAGTTAACATATTCTGTTGAAAGACATTTACCACCCGCTCTTATGCAATATTTTTTGCAAAATCAATATTATTTCGTGGTTTACTTCAACATCAAGTTCCCTTAAGAACGAAGCCTTCCACTTATGGCCTTTTTACACTGCTATTCAAGAGGATCTCATCTATTAACATACTTTGTTACAAGGTTAAATGAGGCGAATAGTCATGCAATAATGTTAACGTCATAATGATTATAAAAAATTCCCATTAAATACTATGACAAAATATAATGATCATCATCAATAGATTGATAACGTATGGTGTTTGGATGATTTAAGGTTTGACCATTTGTTATTACTACTAGAGTAGGTAAATTAACATTTTTATTTAATTTTTTTTAATTTTATATTATTATTTTTATTCGGTTAAGTCTGTAGATTTGTTTCAATTTTATTAAACTGAAATTAAATCAATGCTTTTACTTTGATTTTCATTTGAATTTTAACAGAAACAAACGAAGCCTTATTCAAATGAAGGAGGAGAATCTCACCTTTACCATAGTGAGAAACGTTTCAGAAGCAATTTCAATCAATAAATCATTCAAGAAGTAAATTCCATCATGAAAAGCAAATTATATGCTTCGAAAATATTTTAAAAAAATTATCCTTCTCTTTAGGTTATTCTTAATCAAATTCGTGTTTACCAGATTGTTTAAAAGCTTTCCTATTTTAACTTAAAATAGAAATATTACAATTTTCCTTCAAGTTCGTTGTTTGATGAATGCGAGAAATTTAGAAAATAAGCTCTCCTTTAAATATTTTTTATTAAAGTTAAGTCTTCATAGTCCAGTTTAGGCTAAAAAAGCTTCGAATCAAAATATATAATCATTTACTTTTGACTTACAAAAATTCTTCATGAATTTATATGAAATTTTAAAGCAGTTTATAGTTTTTGTAGGTATTCATAATTTAATTTTTTTAGTTCAATAGTTTATTGCAAATACAAATGATTTGATAACTATCTATAACATTATGCTTAAATAAACTAATATTACGAAATTTTAAATTACAGACTAAGAAAATTTATCTAATCTTACGTTTAAATAATTCCCGATAAAAATAATCTATGGTTACTTAAAAAATAAATAATTTCATTCATATAATCCTTATAAAATTTATTATTAACTTTTCCTTCAATCATTTTGATCTTTTGAACGAAGATTTGAATTATTGCATATTTCTTAATTTTATAAATTAATTATTAAAGTATATAGTTGATAATAGAATAAATTTAAATAAGTTTATTAATTATTTACCATAATTTACGATATGTCCTTTTCAATATTTGAAAAATAAATAAATTATTATTAAATATTAAGAATTTAAAAAAGAATTTCTTTTAAAATTACCTTTGTTATTAAGCAGTTTTATTTTTTATTAGATTCGCAATTTTCTATTCAAAGGAAAAAATTATGATAAGTTTTGACTATTACTACTATAGCAATAATAAAAAAGGTATTACCATTATTTGAAACAATCCTTTTAGATTTGCCCTTATTTATTTCTACCAGTTTAAATTTATAAAGATTTAAATTATTAGCTAAATTTAACTAAATTTTATTATTAAATCTTACCAACTGATGATGTTTTAGGATCTTAATCTTTAGATATTTCTTCAATAAAATAAATTAATTAAATTTCGTTCCGATAAATATAATATATAATATATATATAAACTATTAATACTAACTATCTGGACTATTTTGTTTACTATCAGCTAATTTTTTAAAAATAGTCAAATTTAATTTTAAAATATTTTAAAAATTTTATAATTTAGAAATTCCAATAATCGTAATTATGATAAGATTAATATCTTACCTTCATTAGCATTATTTGGTTCAGGTAATTCTTTAAAAATATGAATTTTACTAAATTTACTAACCAATGAACTAATAGAGCTAGCATTTAAATTAACAGTTTCATTAGATTGTATACAATTAATACTAATACCATCTTCTTCATTTTCATTTTGGTAATACAAATTTCTCATTTGTAAGATTTTCTTTCTAAGAATATTAATTTTTGGTCTTTTAAATGGATCAGCATCCCAACATTGTACCATTAAATTTGCATATACCAATGGAGTTCCTGGTATTATTTTTGGTCTCATTCCATTCATAATTTTCATTACAAGATCATAATTATGTTCATAACCAGCAAATGGCAGTTGTCCAGATGAAATCTCCCACATAAGCATACCGATACTATAAATATCTGATGCAAATGTATATCCTTTTCCAAATATAACTTCAGGTGCTATATAAGGAAGATTTCCATATATACTTCCTAATAGTTTATCTGCAGGGCCACAAAATCTAAAATCACTAATAACCCAAAAATCTATATTTTTAGTATATAATATATTACCTGAATGCAAATCTCTATGAATAGAATTTTCATGATGAAGTCGTAAAATTGCGTCACTTATATATGTAAGTATATTGAACCTTTGTTTCCATGTCAATTGATTATGATGTAAATATTTTCTTAAATCAATATCGTATAAAGTCATTACAAGAAAATAATCTTTATTTTTTGGATCCTGAGTAAGTCCATGACTTTGAATGAAGTATCCCCATTTATTGCTTAAAGTTAATTGAGATTCAGCCTATAAAACAGAATAATTATTTTTTATTTAAACAAAACATTAATTAATCATTCTTATAATAACTATAAAATCACATACTTCTTCAAACCAGATTCTGTTAGCACTTTCAATATTTTCTAATCTTTTAAGAATTACTTTTGAATTACCGACTCTTGTTAATTTTAATTCGATAGAATCCCATTTGCTATAAGGACCATTAATCAAAACTGCTTTATCAATTTCAGAGCATCCACCTTTAGTTAAATATTCAATATTTTGTATATTATTGTATGGTATCCATTCAACTATTTTAAATGGAATAACAGCTTGTGACTGACATTTCTGTATTAAATTATCAATTTCATTATTTCCAGATGTCCATTCTGAAAATTTTGCTTTTAAATAACTTCGAATACATTGCTCACAATAAAATGTTGCGAAACATTCTAGTTTACAGTTTTCGCAAACTCTTTTTATTCCTTGATTTAAGGTAATTTATTGTAGTCATGATCCTGACTTAACAACTTTATTGCCTCTGATTTATCCTCTTTTGTGAGCGTTGAGTTAGTACAAATTATTTGTTGTTTAAATTCATACTGTTTGTCTAAGTCTGTGTTATAATCAGTTAATGAATATGCTCTATTAATTCATAAACCAATTCTATATTAATAGAGGCCATAATAGAATAATAAATGTTGTGAAAACTCCGGCTTTATACCGATAGAATATGATCGTCAATGTTGCATATCTGTTACACAAATTTCAAAAGGGCAAATTTATACAACAAAATAGATATTTGAGTGTAACTTGATGTTATGCTTTGTGATCTGCCAAAGAAAGGCTATATGTATATTTAATTTAAAAGTACATAAAATAAATTTTTTTTTTAAAGAGTTTATAAAAAATTTTTGTAATCTGAAAACTTCTCTCGATAAGAGTGTAAAATTAAAGTTTTTATTTAAATCTAGACATCGGAATTATAAATCAGATCGTTAATAACAGTATGTAATAAGAGATTGGAACATTATCTTTAAAAAAAAAAAAATAAGTAGTTGACTTTATAAAAAAAATTGTTTTATAATAACGAAGACGTTAATATTTATGTTGGTTCAAATCTTGGTCCAACACGAACCTATGGGAACTCTTGAAATGATCTATTGTCGCTAACTTGAATTATTATTCGAATCAGATAATTTTTTTTGGTGAAGCATCTTTGATGGAATTGATTTTAAAACAGGATTTGAAATTTGACGAAATTATCATTTGAGATTGTATTATATTACATCAGAATGATAAATATAATTATGATTGTCCTATTATTTTGTTGCAAAAATTAAAGGATCTATCAAATCGTAGGAGGATATAATCCATTGAATTTGTATGAAGAAGGTTTTAAATATAGCATCAAATCCTTAAAATTCTAAAAAATGTTAAAACGGGAGATTTGCTAAAATACTGTATGTGAGGGACAATTGTTTTAGATCTGCTTTTGGATATACAGTAGTGGTGATCTTAACTTTGATGATGAACCATACTAACCCTTTTTAATTTGAAGTAATTTAAGGAGCTCATTGATTGATGTTCGATTAATTTACCGTGTTCCTCTTAATGATTTATAATTTTATAATTAAATCAATAAGGTTGGTTATAAATTTTCAATTTACTGCGACGACCGACGTTGATTAAAAATGAATTAAATATCAATAATTTACTACTTTTATATCAAAATGATTGCGCATTTCAACCTACACATATTATTTACTACATTAAATAAGTAAATTTAAGAATAATATATATTACAATGTTGGATTCTTTAGGAACAAATTCCAGTTGCATATGTTCTTTTATATAATGATGATATTCACCCTCGGGTTTTGACTGCGCCAAAATCGACTATGACGATCAATATAATGTATTTCAATTCTGGCGGATATGTTGGAATTGACATTTCGGACCTTGGGACAATACGGATTTTTCGGCAAGATGAAAGATATATATCAAATTACCATTTTTGACTTCAGGATCAATTAATTGGCATTTCCGTCATCCAAGCCGCAAGCCTCCTGATAATTCCATAGCAAAGCCATGCGAAGGAATTTTTATATAAAATTTCTTCGTTTCACTCTTAGTTTACAATAGAATTTTAACCATATTTGAATGATAGTTCTTTTCTCTTTGTTCCTATTAAAGAGCGCTGACAGAGGCAGTAATTGTTGCATCTGTTATATTAATTTCATATTAATTAATAAAACTTATTTTTTATTTAATTCAATAAAACTTTATTATTTTATTTTCTAAAATCAATTTACATGCTATTTTCGTTTATCGCAATTACATAAAACTACAACTAATTACCTCTATTACGCAAATAGGAGGTAACAATACCAATATAATTCTACAGCATTGAATTAGTCTGAAATTCATATCGAATAGTCATACACGTTATTATAATTGCATAATAACCATCGTCAATAGACAACGTATAGCAACCGATGAAGTGTTTTGATGATTAAAGGTTTGACCATTTGTTCACTCTGAGAGTTCTGTATGAGATATAATAGAGATCTAAAATAGGTCAATGTCTGTTTGATTCATTTATTAGATTGAGGCTTTTATTTAAGTCTCTGTTTATTATCAAGCAGCGGTATAATTAAATGAAATCAATGCTTCTACCTCGATTTTCATTTGAGACAAATAAAGAATTAATCTAGTAAACTTCTTCGAATTTAAATTAACGCGCCATATGTCATGAAGGAGGAGAATCTCATCTTCCGTAAACAATTTCCATCATGAGAAACATTCCAGAAGCGATTTCCATCATGGATAACATTTTGAAGCAAAGTTTCATCACGAGAAGCGAATCCTATGCTTCGAAATCATTTTTTATTTTTAATTAGATTATAACGAAACCTACTCACCACCTTGGTACTTGATTAAGATTCGTTCTTTAACATATTTGGAATAGACTGTTTATTAATATATAAAATAAAAAAATTTTAGTAATCTTCGCTAAATATATTCACCTTTTTCACCGTTCTTTACCGGATTGTTTAAAAACAATGGTAAGTCCTTTTCCGATTTTAACTTACAAACACAAACATTACCATATTCTTTTCCTTCAAGTAGCTTTCGTCGCTTGATTAATGAGATAAAGTAATAAAAAAACTCTCCTTTTGAATTTATTTTTTAAAAAAGTTATGTCTTCGTAGTACAGTTCAACCAAGCAGGCTTGAAAAGCTTCTAATCAAATTATATAATCATTAACTGAATAATGAATTTTCAGGTTTGATATATTGATCGAAGGAAAGCCAAAATAACGTTACATAATTGAAATAAAAGATCAATTAATGAAAATGAAACCTTTTTTTTTACTTTTGACTTTCAAAATATATTTTCTAGGTTCATACATTAATTTTTAAGTTAAAAAGTTTATTGCAAATATAACGATAACTATACTATAATATTATGTTTAAATAAAATAATATTACGAAATATTTAAATTACAAATGAAGAAATTTTATCTAATCTTAATATTTAAATAATTAACGATAAAAATCATCTAAGGTTACTTAAATATAAAATAATTTCAACTTCAACATTTGTATTAAATTTCTGTTTAATATAAAATTATAATTAGAATTTATTTTCCTTATATAATTTATTTAATTTACATCATTTTTACCTTCAGGAATTTCAAAATCATCTTGATCTTCTGAATGAAGATTTGGATTATTCCATATTTCTTCATCATCTATAAATTCTATAAATCAAATCAAAATCATTAAAGTATATAATTGGTAATTAAATAGATATATTTATTTTTTACCATCATTTACGATATGGAATTTTTTCATATAATTCACTTCATTATTTATACAATTTACGTAAATTCCTAAAATAAATACAGTATATTGTTATTAAATTTAAGAATTTGAATATTGCTATTGCTATTATATTACTAGCAATAATAAAAAGCTATTACCATTAGAATTATTTGAAGTAATCCTTTTAGATTTTTCCTTATTTGTTTCTAAAATATTGAAGTTACAAAGATTTTAAATTATTAGATTTTATAAACTAAACTCAACAAAAATTTAATAATAACCCTTACCAACTGATATTTTCGGATTATTTTGCTTACTGTAATCTTTAGATATTTCTGCAATAAAATAAATAATTAAATTTTGTTCTGATAAATATAATATATAATATATAAATTATTATACTTACTAACTGGAATACTAAGACTATTTTGTTTACTATCAGCTAATTTTTTAAAAAAATATCATTCATTTATAAAACATTTAAAAATTAAAAGTTCAAATACTGTAATTTATTGGCAATAATTTGTAATTTTGATAAGATTCATTAATAACTTACATTCGTCAGCATTTTTTGGTTCAGGTAAATCTTTAAAAATATGTATTTTACTAAATTTATTAACCAATGAACTAATAGAGCTAGAATTTATAATAACATTTTCATTTGATATATAATTAATATTAATACCATTTTCTTCATTTTCATTTTGATAATATGATTTTTCTAATTCTGTAATTTTATTATGGAGGGTATCAATATTATATCTCTTTAATGGATCAGAATCCCAACATTGTACTATTAAATTTGCATATTCCAATGGAGTTCCTGGTACTATTATTGGTCGCATTCCGTTCATTATTTTCATTACAAGATCATAATTATGTTCCAAACCAGCAAATGGTGGTTGTCCAGATGAAATCTCCCACATAAGCATGCCGAAACTATAAATATCTGATGCAAAAGTATAACCTTTTCCATTAATAACTTCGGGTGCTATATAAGGAAGATTTCCATATATACTTCCTAATGGTTTATCAGCAGGGCCACAAAATCCAAAATCACTAATAACCCAATGATCAGTGTATTTATGATATAATATATTTCCTGAATGCAAATCTCTATGAATAGAATTTTCATGATGAAGTCGTACAATTGCGATACTTACATATGAAAGTATAATGAGTCTTTGTTTCCATGTTAATTGATTGTGATTTTGCTGTATATATTTTCTTAAATCATTATCATATAAAGCCATTACAAGAAAATAATCTTTATTAGTTTGATTCTGAGTAAGTCCACAACTTTGAATAAACTGTTCCCATTTACTGCTTAAAGTTAATTGAGATTCAGCCTATAAAACAGAATAATAATTAAACAAAACTTTAATTATTCATTCTTATAATTTGCTTTAAAATTTTTAAAATTACATACCTCTTCGAACCAAATTCTGTTAGCACTTTCAATATTTTCTAATCTTTTGAGTATTACACTTTCATTTCCAAATCTTAATAATTTTTGTTTGATAGAATCCCATTTGCTATAAGGACCATTAATCAAAACTGCTTTATAAATTTCAGAGCATCCACCTTTAGTTAAATATTCAATATTTTGTATATTATTGTATGGTATCCATTCAACTATTCTATGCGGAAGAACTGCTTTCGACTGACATTTCTGTATTAAATTATCAATTTCATTATTTCCAGATGTCCATTCTGAAAATTTTGCTTTTAAATAATTTCGAATACAATGTTCACAATATGATGTAGCTAAACATTCTAGTTTGCAGTTTTCACATACTCTTTTTATTCCTTTATTAAAGATAATTTTATTGCAGTCATGAGACTGTATTAATAATCTTATTGCTTCTGATTTTTCCCCTTTTGTTAGCGATATGTCCGTGCAAATTGTTTGTTGTCTAAATTCATGCCGTTTATCAAAGTGAAGTTTATAATCAGTTAATGCATAAGCTCTATCAAGTGCAGCATAAACCAATTTTATATTAATGGAGGCCATAATAGAAAAATATATTTTAGAAAAAGAAAGATAAACGGTGTGAAAACTACGGTTTTATAACCAGAATATGATCGACACTGTAGTACCTCTGTTACACAATATCAAAGACAAAATTTGTATGACAAAGTGACTGTTATAGAATGGAGAAGATCCTTTAATCGCTTGTATGCCAATGCAATGTTAATTATTATATTATAAACTTTATATAAATTAAAGAAAAAAAATGTTAATACTCATTAGAAAAGTTAAGTATAATTGTTAATGTAACTTTACAAAAAAAAAAAAAAAAAAATATAGAAATGTAGTAAATGGAGTGAATAATAAATAATATGTAAATTTTTGAATTGTATTTTTTCATTTCATGATTATTCTTAATTTTCCTAATTTTTTTAGAATAAAAAACAAATTAAAGGCTTTCCATACAATCGTATTTATTACAAAGTACTTTGTAAACTATTTGATAAAATTAAAATAGGTTCGTTCCACTTATAATTGTATTCACCTAACCTTTCCTTTTTGATATGAATTTATGAAAAATTTGATCTGCGAGATTTAAATGAATATAACAAAGAACTTGTTATTACGTTATACTTCACGTTTATATAACAATTTGATTGCAAAGATACATGAGATATTTTTGTTCTTTCTAGGTAAGTAAGGAAATTATACTAAACTAATTTGATTTTGAGATAGGTAACAGTTTAAATTTTGATTATATATATAAAAATTAGCTATAAAAAAAGAAAAATACTGTAATCACGTCACGTGTTGTAAGTAATTAAAAGTTATGAGAAACTTGGATAACTTCTCACTACATGTACATATATTAGGATATACCTTGTAAATATTATATTCTCTTTAATTATAAACATGTATTACTTATGACAAGTAAAATTATATATTATATATATAGGCATTATAATGCAGGTTGAAAGTTAACAATATCTTTGACAATCATATATATAAAGGCATTAAGGGTATGTAATAATTTTTTCTTTCTCGATTTATTTCACAAAAGTTCAAATAACGAAACCGACCGGAAATCTATCGGACTATTATATTTTTTTTATTGGCATTTTAAAACTATACATAATTTACTTAACCTATTTGGCCGAATAACGTTTTGAAAAAAGCTCAAGCTTTATGAAAATTGGGTTCACGACTTAATCGAACGTCTAAATATACGAAATGTTCGATCTATATTTTTATGACTTCCTTCATTTAAATAATTTTTTACTCAATAAGTCGTTCTAGGCTTGTATGTTAATGAAAACCAATAAATTTTTATAAAAATAAACTGACGAATGAACAATAAAATACTGATGCCACTATGGATAATAGAACTAATTTTGTGGAGACTTGCGATATGGTCGATATTGTCGATAATGATGTGGTGATGTAGAGAATGTACTTGGAGTAAAACTTGTAATCCTTGAATAAGAGTTTGTTCATCAGATCTTTTTTCTAAAAAGTTAAAATAAAGCGTTTTAAAATAAAAAATACTATACATACTATTAAACTGACTTACATTTCGTCCCTATGTAATTACCATTTTCGAACACATAAATAAATTAGTAAATTTTTAAAAATAGTTTATAATATTAAATTACTTACAATTTGGAATGTCAAGACTATTTTGCTTACTATCATGTGCTTTGTTTTTATTTTTTAAAAAAGGTATATTAAATAATTAGCAAGATTAATCATTGATATTTCTAACCTATTTAAATATATACCTTCTTGTTCTTCTATTAATTAAAAAAAAAATTAAATTTAAATAACTTCGATGATTTTAATAAATATAACTAATAATTTACCTTTAGTAGCATTTCTTTGTTCTGGTAAATTTTCAAAAATACTAAATTTTCTAGCTAATGAGTTAGCCAAATTAGAGTTTATATCAAAACTTGTTGTTAATTTTATATCGTTAGTATCACTAATATTATGATTCTCTTCATTTTAATTATAATGATATGATTTATATATTTCATTAAATTTTCTCTAAAGAGTTAAAGCATCGGGTCTCTTTAATGGATCAGCATCCCAACATTGTATCATTAATTTCTTATATTCTAATGGAATGTTTGAAACTATATTTGGTCTCATTCCATTCACTATATTCATTACAAGATCATAATTATGATCAAAACAAGCAAAGGGTGGTTGTTCAGATGAAATCTCCCACATAAGCATTCCTATACTGTAAATATCTGATGCTTTACTACTTTCTTTTCCAAATATAACTTCTGGTGCTATGTAAGGAAGATTTCCATATGCGCTTTTTAAAGGTTTATCAATAGGCCCACAAAATCCAAGATCACAAATATACCACTCATTGGTATACTTACGATATAATATATTTCCTGAATGCAGATCTCTAATGAATAGCATCTTCTTGATGAAGAAAATAAATACATTCAACTATATTTTCTGTAATATGGAATCTTTCTTTCCATGTAAGTTGTTTATTATTTTGTTGTAAATAGTTTCTTAAATCTATATTAAGTAATTGTAATACTAAAAAATAACCTTTTGTTAATGGATCCTGAGTAATACCATAACATTTAACTAATTCCGTCATTTTATTGCTTAATGTTAAATGAGAATGTGCCTATAAACAGAATTAAATATATTAGCTTTTAATGATATAAATGAATTTTTAAAAATATTTTATACCTCTTCAAATCATCTCCGCTTAGCACTTTCAACATTCTCTAACAATTTAAGTATTACTTTTTGTGTTCCAAATCTGTTTAATTGCTGCGTATCAGAATCCCATTCATCAAAGCTTCCACCAATCCAATCTGCCGTATATATTTCAGAACATCCACCTTTAGTTAAATATTTTATATTTTGTAAATTGTTATGTGGGATCCATTCAATTATTTTATTTTGGAAAATTGTTTCCATTTGACATTTCTTTATTAATTCATCAATTTCATCATTTCCGGACGTCCAATTTGTAAATTTTGCTTTTAAATAATTTCGAATACAAAGTTCACAAAATGATATCGCTAAACATTCTTGTTGGCAGTTCTCACAATTTCTTTTCTTTCCTAAATATTTTGTAACTTTGTTATATTCATAATTTCTTTTTAAATTTCTAATTACCTCCGATTTTTCATCATCTGTAAGAGATTTATCAGCTATAATAGCTTGTTGTCTCAATTCTAACTCTTTATCTATGTCATTGTTAAATATTAATGTATTTACTTTATCATATATTTTATTAACTAATTCTCTACTAATAAATGTCATAGTGCAATTGAATAGAAAAATGTTTGTATTTCTAAATAAACGTAGTCCGGTAAAAAAATCAAAATTTTTTTAAAATAAAGTTACACATAGACCTGCATAAAAATTTGAGGAGTTAGGATTTCCTTTTAAAATATTTAAGATACTTGTATAGTATTTAATAATAAACCTTTTCCACCGTAACGAAAATTAAATTCTCTCTTTTAAATGAAAGTTCCAATTAAATTTAACTTTGAAACAGGAGATATGCAGGAACAAAAGTTGTGTTACCGTTCGAAAATTCGAAAATTTCTGTTGAGCATTATAAATTTTGCACGTGTTAGCGACATTTTCCCGAATTAGTAAGTGTATTGTTAATCAAGTATTTGTTTAATACAGCCACGTATTATCACCTGCGTATTTAAATTTCTAACTTTAACTAATGCAACGACGAAATGAAAGACCGAGTAAAACACATAGAACTAACCAATCTATTCTACATAAGTGGAAAGGCCAATCTAACAAATCTAACAGGTCCATAATAATATATAGATAAAAGGTGGAAAAAACCGAATTACCGTCCATGAAAAATGTTAAAGAAGGGTCGAATTTTTGAACAGCAAATTATAAGAAATCCTCAAATTAGCGATTAAGAGTGTTCATGTGTCATTATCCCCGGATGCACATAAATGATCACAGTTTATTTTTTTCGATTTTGACTAGTGTTATTGATATCGTTAGAATGAAATCTTGAAAAAAACTCTTCTGAGTTATGTATCCTAATTAAAATAGGCCGTTTTTTATTTATTTAATCTGAAATGATGAATTCAGTTTTATTTTTTATTTTTATCTATACTATGACGGCTGACGAAGAATCTTCTGAAGAAATTCGAGAGCAAGCAAAGATATCTTGGAGTTTTTTTTTGTTATAAAATTTTCTACATTATTTTCATTTAGGTTTCAGCTTATACTGTATATGTAAAATTCTAATTTCATGATAAAAGTGCGTGTATTTTTTGATTTTGTAGTAAGCATAATTTTAAAAATTAAAAAAAAATAAAAAAAATATTAATATTCCTTTCCTTAAACAGAAAACTAAAAAAAGTAAAATGTTTCTATTTTAAATATTTTAATATATTAGCATTAATAACAAAAATATAAATAAAAAAGTAATTAAAGAAAATCTTATCGTTTCAGATCCGCATCAAAAAATAAAAAGAGTAAATAGTATAAATAGTATAAACAATAAAATGCAGGCAAATAAATATTATATAGATTAATAAATAAAAAATAATAAAATTAAATTAAAAATCTGTATCAAACGAATAAGAGAACCTAAAAAAGAAAAAACAAAAATCAATAATTTTACTATTAATTCCACAAAGACTACTAGTGCAAAAGTCAACACTTTACCAACCAAAAAACGATTCACAAAAGAACCAAATGCGTCAAGATATAATATTATTTAAATATAAATATGAGGATATTAATGAAATGCTAATTCTTTTTATTTACTTTTTGCAGGAAATAACTTAACATTTTGTATAAGGCAAGTCATTCGATTCAAATTTGGTAATAAGTATATCAAGAAATATCAATTGTAATAAAACAAAAAATGGCTAAAAATAAAAATGATTATATAATAAAGATCAGATAATAACGATACATGATATGTATACTTTTTTGATATGAACATGAAAGATTTCGTACAAATTCAATAAATTCATTATAAAGAACGATTAACTTCGTACAACAATTATGATAGATAATTAATGTTCGGAAAATCGACCATTTTTCTAGACAAAAAAATAGGGAATACCGTTAGCCTCGAAAATGTCTGACGATCAGAAGCTGCGTTCAGAAGCTGCGTCTGAGATCGTACTACGGTAAATGTAGTAGATTAGCATAGATAGATTATAGAGATTATGATAAACATGTAACAATTCGGGTTTTAGCTAATTTCTATTATTTCTTAGTTCTATTTTGTTTATTTTATATTTATCATTTATGTTATATATGTTATTTTATTATTTATTATTATGAAAATACGTAGTTTAAATTTAGTATATATACAATTTAATTAAAAGAAAATATAGTCCAATCGTTGTAAAGTCTTGATGATAGACTTACGGACTTTCAAATAATAAAAATATTTTTTACACTTTCAAACCTTCCTCTTGTCTCCACATAGGCTCCGCTTGTGATAACCAATCTACACAAAAGAATCGTGATAAAGTAATTGTGATATATTCCAGGATAAAAAGGATACCAGAATATCGTATTACATTGCATGTATCGTTCGTTACCTTGGTTTCGGTACAATTCCAGGTCTCAATAATTTGAAAGATCCGTACCGATCTGTAAACGTACCATAGTGGTCAGCTGAATCGTACCGGTTTTCCCTATACTCCAAAAAAATTTATCAATTTTATCAGACAAATATTTTTCATAGGGCCGGTTGTCTAGTACAGCACTTCAAGTCCTTTTGCCTTGCAAGGATAAACCCTTTGTAAAAACAACACAGAATATCCCAGTTAAGCAATTTTAAAAGTTTATCGAAACGACATAGAGTAATGTCATGTAATACAGAATTAAATGAAGTTCATGGACATTTCCGGCATTTAAAAATTCTATAGTTTGGGATGAGTCAGCATGTGGATCAATCTAATTATTGAAGATAATGGGAAAGTTGTACGATCATCAAAAGCTTGTTGTAAACATCAAAGCAAGTAGCATTCGAAAATCAAGGTACTTTTGAATGGCATTATAGAGAAATATTGTGGATAGTGCATCAAAGTTACAGTTCATTCAGATATGAATAAAAGGACCTGTTCAATTACAGTCAATAATGTAAAATATCCAGCGGTATCAGAATGGAATCTAACATCAAAACTTTACACTGTAGTTTCATGTTCTCCTGGTAAGTTTCGAATTTATCTCATTGAAGTTTATGATAACAATATAATTTAGTGCATTTATTCATGCTCAATGTTGATTTATCAATAAAATTTATAATGAAATATTCATTTATAAGGTCATTTATATAGGTTACTCAAATTAAATTAGTTGATTTTTTCATTATTTTCGTATGTTTTTCTTTACAGGATGATATATTTGATCATCTCATAATTAGAAGTTTGATATTATTCCTTTTAAATTGGTAATATTTATTCAGTTCGTTATGTAATATTTTTCTCCAAGACTTTTACTTTTTAAAGTTGTGTTAATTGAGTTAAAATAGTAGTTAATATATTGCAATCTTTGAACTATATGGAGTATTTTGTGAGTCTAATAGAATGATGAAAAATCATTATTGCAGTATTATTATGTATCATTCTAAAAAAAAAATGATGCTAAATATGATGTATTATTCCCATATCCTCTGAAATGGCGCTTTATATTTTTTAATTAAGTTATTCGTAATACTTCATTTACATACTTAACAAATTATTTATGTTCGCAAACTAACAAACGAATAATTTATTATTATTATTATAACGTAATAAATTGCCATTGCAACAACAGCAATATGATATCGCTGACCCTTTAAATGAAAAATGAAAGGGTCAAATAAAAATTCTTTTAACTCATGAATTTCTCACGGTCTTATCTAAGATCCCAGAATCTCGACTGTCAAGAAACCCGACAGTATGAAATAAACATAAGAAGTAACGTAATTCATGTGGCTCTATCAAAATAAATTACATGCTATATTTGTCAGGAAATTAAAAGTTTGCTTGCCTACAGATGATCGAAATAGCTAATAGTATTTGACATTAGAATCGATGTGTTTGATAACAAAATCGGTATATAAGTTATTTAATGGTGTATGTAGAGTTACCTTCTATTTCATTGGGGAGGTAATTAAATGTAATTTAAGATTTATTATATGTAGTTGCGATATAACGAAAATCAATTTTAAAAAAATAAAATAATAAATTTTATTGAAATAAAGGAAATAAGTTTAGTATGACAAAAATGCAACTATTACTGCCTCTGCCAGCGCTCTGTAATAGGCCCAAGAGAGAATAGAACTATCTAAATTACAAAGGTTCAAATCCTATAGTAAACTAAGAGCGAAACGAAGTGTTTATATAATAAAATTATTTCCTATGGCTTGTTACGGCATTCCTTAAAATATCAGGAGGATTGCAAGCTTTGATGGCGGAAATGCTAATTAATTGGTCCCTGATGTCAAAAGAGGTCATTTTGGCATATATTTCCATCAGTCCACGGAGTCCGAATGATCATAAAGGTCAGAAGAGTTAATTCCATATGTTAATCGTCGTAGCCGCGGTGATCAAGTCTGGGCCCAGTCATACTAGAGGGTGACTTAAATTAATGAATAATAAAAATAATTAATAAAGGACCATTAAGAACATTAAAAATACAAACAAGAAAAAAAGAATAGAAAAGTAGTAATTTTAAATCAGTTTTATTATAAATATCATGCTATCTGCAATTTATTTTTTAATAAATATTGTATAAAACAATGCCAGGTACATACATCTTTGCTAATTATAAAAAATCAGAGGAAAGTAATTGATAACGAATAATTGAAATTGTTCAGATATCAAATTCTAAAGATTTGGAAAAATAAACTATTATCATAAAAAGAAAACTCATTAGTTCATATGCTTATTTTTCTTATTATAAAGTTTCTTTCTACTTACTAGTATTAATAGATTCATCACAAGTTTCCTCATTAGATTTGATTCTTTTACTGCTCGCATCTAATTTTAGTAAAACAAATAATTATTTTTTTGATCATTCATAGTTATCTTTAATAGTAAACTTATTATACCAATGTCATAACTTTCAATTAAATCATCATGGAATTTTCTTTTACCTTTTAAAATATGCAGGATTATGAGTAATTCTTTAAAAAAACTAAATATTAAGAATGGTTCAATTTTATAATAAAGTCTCACCGATCGTAAATGTTTCAGAGTTTGTCAATATTCCAGTGGATATAACACCTGGATCATTTACTAATATAGGTCCAATATCTTTGGATTCCATAATTTTAGTTGGATTCATTTTTTCATTAAAAATAATTTCATTAATAGATTTAATAATTTCATACGCCGTTGGCCTTTCATTTGGATTTGAATCCCAACATTTTTGCATAAGTTCAATATATCCTTCCGGTGCATCTGTAATTATTGGAGGACGAATACCATCATGAATTTCAATAATAAGATGTATATCCCATTTTCGATCCCAAAATGGTTTTCTACCCGTCATTAATTCCCACATAATTATACCAAAGCTATATATATCTGAAGCTTTAGTACATGTTTGTAATTGAAAGATTTCTGGAGCTACATAAGGAATAATCCCATAATACACACAATTATTATCATTTGATTCAATTAATAATTTACTAATTCCCAAATCACTTATTATGATATCATTTTCATTTTCACAAAGAATATTTCCACTATGAAAATCTCGATGAACTATTCCTTGGTGATGTATGTTACTGAGTCCAAAAGTAATATTTTTTAGCATTATTAATTTATTATGCCAATCCATATTATAGAAATTTGTTGCTATATATGTTTTCAAATCGTATCTATAATATTTCATTATTATTACAAAATTTTTTGTATTATTATTCTGTGTAATACCATAATATTTATTTAGGTAAAATAACGATTCAATAAATCTTTCATTTGAATTAGCAATATAAAAAATCATTAGCTAAATTTATAAATTATTATATTAATTAATGTAAAACTTATATTAAAATTAAGAGTATTTCAATTAATTAAACAAATTACCTCATTTAATTCTTTTGAAGAAATATTCTTAGAATTATTTAGTTCTTTTAATGCAACTGCAATATTGGGTTCAGTATATTCAAACACTTCTTTTTTCTCATTCCAATAAGGTGGTCCATCAATCCAAGTGGCTTTATAAACTTTACTAAATCCACCTTCACCAACTTTTTCTATATTTTTAAATTGATCATAAGAAATAAATTTCATTCTGCAAGATTCTTGAACAAAATTAATTTGGGTATGTTTAATAAATTCATCAACAACTCGATTTCCACTTGTTTTATATAATAACTTTGATTGATAACAAATTATACATATTTTATGATATTCTTTTAAAGGTTTTCTTTTTTTAAGACAATTACTACATTTATTATAAATATCATTTTCTGGTTCAATCATAAATCCTATAGCTAGTGTAATTTTACTGATTTCATTTTTCATAAAATTTGTTGAATTTAATTTAGTATTTTTCAAGGCTTTTTGACACCAATAGATTGCCATTTTTAAATTCTGCTTAACTCCTTTACCTCTTAAATACAAAGAAGTTAGCTTAAATTGTGCGATAACATTTCCACTTTCAGCAGCTTTTTGGTACCAAAAAAATGTCTTTTCTGTTCCTTTATCATTACAGGACTTTTCTAAACCTTTTTCTGTTCTTCCACAATTAAAGTATGAATTATTATTATTATTACATTGTGCAAAACGATATTCCCTTTTTGCTGCTTTTTGATAATAATAAAGGGCTGTTTCTATATTTTTTTCTGTTCCTATGCCATAATAATAAGACGTTGTAAGATTATAAAATGCAAATATATTACCACTTTTGGCAGCTTTTTGATACCAATGAAATGCTAACTCATAGTTTGCTTCAGTACCGAAACCTTTAGTATAACATCTACCTAAATATAATTGTGCAATCGGATAATCGTTTGACGTTTTTTGGAAGCATTTAAATCCATCTACATCATTTTCTTCTTTTAAATCAACCACATAATAATAAATGAAAATTCCAAAAAAGAAAACATATTTTGAATCATTTTTATTTTCTTTAAGCCATTTAAAAATATCATCAGCTGATCTAGTAGATATAGCAATGCATTTGTTAATAAAATCCTTCGTTAAATTAAAATCTTTACCCTCATCTTGTATTTTAATCAAATGGATTATAAATTTATCAATCATATCATTAATATTATCAGTTGAATTAATCCATTCATCAAGATTATTTTCTGGTTTAGACATTGCTGAATAAAAATAGATATATTGAACTAATTAAAATTTAAAAAGAATATGTTTTTTTAAAAGCGGGAATCAGAACCTTATATATAAATACTAAAAAATCTTCAATTACATTACATCACATATACTTTTTGGGGAAATGATCGATAAGATGATCTACACATAACTTGTAGACAATTTTCTACGAATTTTTTTCTTTTTTAAAACTATATCTTAATAAACTTTATTTGAATAATTTAAATTATATATTTTGCTCATCTATATGTTTACTTAAACGTCAAATGAGTTTTTTTTTTTGTAAAGTTTGACTTAATCGCATTTTTTTAAAAAATGCGTCACATACAACCACATGACACGCTAAATGCAATTTGATAACCATACCATATAATATCCGATGACTGAATTTAGCCGATAAAAATTAACCTCACCCGTCGGTTACAATCACTAATCATTTCTAAAATAAGGTTGTGAAAATTTATATTACATCACTACGAGCAAATGTAACTGTGTGTCCAAAGATCATTCCATTCTGTTGATCAAATTTTCTGACTAATAATGATATTCATAATGAATTGATACAAATAATGAATAGGTTGTCGCTCAAATGCGTTAATGCCCGAAATGATCATTTCTGACATAAACTACTATGACGAGCTTTCCGCAGTTATTTCCGCAGCTAACAACGGATTCAAATGGAAATACCTTCATAATACTGGTAAATCACGATTTTTTACATATTTCTAGGGAAACGGGAAGTTGATTCCTAATTTCTAACTTTATTTGGCTTTTTAGAAAGTATATATTTAGCTATATTTTATGATTAACTATTCTAGCATGGTGTTTTTAAATTTCTATAAATTTTAGTGGTACAGCAACGTTGCTAGTTGTTTATTTACAGTAAAATGTAGACAGAATAAAATTTTTTATTAAATATAAAATAGAGTTTATTAATGCATTTATCATTACATTAATTATTCTTTTATGACACATGGTTTTTAATTTTGTGATGTGATGCAGCAGTATATAAATAATTTGGATATTTTGTTACTCCAGATTATTTATTATTATTGCACGTTTTCAAACTTTTTGAAACGTTACTATATTGGAATAATATTAGGAGCCATTCACAGAATGCAGCATGTGAACAGAAGCATTATGACCAAATTTATCATTAAGCTCACTATAACATTGTTACTTCATTATCGTTATTGCATCATTATTTAACGAAAATTGATTGGCGCAGTAAGTGGACGAAGGCTTTCCGTTCCATTTCAATTCATTGGACTTTTGTCGTCCAATTATAATGAAATGTCATACTCGAAATAACTACTTCATGTTATGAACTATAGAATGTTCTTATTGATGGTTATCTAATTTCTTTTCGCTTTCTAAAATAGAACTGTAACCTTCTAATCTTATAAAATTTATAGGTTTATTAAGTCTTATTTTCGTAAGGAAGATAGTTATTTATTTTAATCTATGTACGATGTAACAAATTATGATGATCTAACGAAATATGAAAAGAAATAAGTTTATTAAATAAATACTAAGAGTAAACAATATAACAACTATTACTGGCTCAGTCTGCGCTTTATCCTTCCCGGGACTTGAACGGGTGGAAGTTCATTAAAGCCGACGTCAGAAAGGGCCAAAATAACCATTCAGGTAAATAACGCCCAAATGTAGTCTTCTTCACAGATAAACGTTTGTTTTTACATACTATCTATACAAAATATTAATTTCTTCTATTTCTCTTCGTATAAAATATTATAAAGAAAGTTATTAAGAAACAATAATAAGGAGGATTTTATTATACAGTATTTTAATCATATTGGAAGTACTTTAGAAATTATTTCTCTATTCGATTGACATTTGTCTCAATATATACAATTACAATTACAACATTCAAGTTCTGTTATTAAATTTGGTCTCTATTAATAAATTTCATGAAGGTTATAATTCTTTTCTTCAATTACCGTCTTCTTTTTTTATACAAAAGCAATGTCCGATTCAAGTGCAGCACAGTGATGAATAGTAATAATAGTTATATAGGTTAGGTTATACGTGTTATTCGATTAAAATAAAATATCGATTAAGACATCCAAAAAAGTACTTTATTTTTTTTTCCATTCGTAGTAAATTCTGCAATTGCTGAGCGCTCGTATTAGTTAATAATTTAAAGTAGTCGTTCAAATAGAAAATATGATATGAGAATTTGTAAAATTTCTGAATTTTCAAATCATTCAAAATAATTTTTTGTACATTAAAAATATATGTACGTTCATTATTGTAAAAGTATTCCGTTTCGTTTAGTATTTTGATTGCGGAGCAACGATTATTTGTCACGATAATTACAGAAAAAAAAAAATTATTTATTAAATCTCATTAATTTGCAAACGTGAGAAATACCGAAATTATGGTAGGGATGTGAAATTTCCAAATGGGAGCGCGAACGAACGTCATTCCAATTTTTGAGACGAACCAAGGAGCTCAAACAGAACGATCGGTTCTAAGAGAATCGACTTAAGGGAGTCGGCTCTTTTTAAATTGAAGTATTAATTAATTTGATTATTTTGAGATGTAAAATAACAGTCGCACATGATCATGCTTATAAATAAATAAACTATTATTATATTATGTTTAGTATAATGTCAAAATATCAATATTAATTATACAATTGTAGTTTATTTAAAGCATGTTTAAAAAACCATGATACTATTTGGCTGTATGATAAAATAAATATATGATGTTTTGTAACAGTGATTTTATAGCAGTAATTGTAACACAAAACAATAATATTTAAATCATCGATAAAATATTTATAATTAATTAATTTTCTCATTGGATGGATAACAATTTAGTATTAGCAAATCCTGATTTTAATCAGGATTTATATTCACTTATTCTGTTAACCATAAATATATTACAAGACTATGTTGAAAAATGACATCAAGGACATAAATTCGTCAAAATGACCAAAGTCGTGGTAAATTTGATACATTGCCGATCAATGATTTTAAAATATAATTTGAATTTTCATCGTACCCACCATTTAAATCCATGAAAATTTAATGAATTTCAATATTTCAAAATGTATGCCGAATTGTCAAATATTTTGCATAATGAATACAATGAAATTCTTAATTCTAGTGAATTTTCAGATACAGAAATCTTAATCGGAGAGGAACCCAACAAAAAGGTCTTTAAAGCACATTCTTTAATTTTAAAAATTCGATCACCTTATTTTCGAACTGCTTTATCCGACAATTGGATAAGGATTGAAAATAATGTCATTAAATTGCAAAAGCCTAATATTTCTGTTGAAGTGTTTGATATTATTATAAAGTAATTTCTTTTATGATTTACCATATGCATTATTAAAGATAACAATTAAAATCATGGATTTTATTCGATCAATTAGGTATATATATAGCAGTATTATTGACCTCTCCGGCAACGATATTAAAACGAATATTGCTCTTTTAATTGCTGCCGATGAATTATGTCTTAACAGCCTATGCGATTTTATTGAAGAACATCTTCTTATAAACGAAGTTTTGCTTAAAAAGAATTTTATTCTCATTCAAAGTGTCGCATGCCAATTTACTCAGTTTAACAGATTGGTTCAATTTTATAATATTTCTTTTCAACAAGAACCTTCATTAATCTTCAAGGCAGATGATTTCACAGCAATAAAACAAGAAATCCTCCTTATTATCCTTGTTAAAAACGATTTTTCTGAGAGCCCTATTGAAGTTTGGGATAAATTATTAGAATGGTGTATTGCACAATCTGACGATAAATTACCATCTGATTTTACAAAATGGACGGAAAATGAAATATTAATATTCAAATCATTAATTCAGCCTTTTATACCACATATTGATTTCAAAAATATTAGTCCCGCAGATTTTTTTCACAAAATCAAACCACTTAAAAATATTTTTGAAGATGGTTTTTACATTAAAATACTTGAATATTATTCTTTTTATGCTTTTAGGTCTCGACCTATATATAGAAGACAACAAAGTAGTAGATATTCAATAGTTCCCGTAAAACCCGTAAGACGTAGATTAATAAAAGAGATTATTAATATATTTTAAAGTTTATAAATAGGAAACCATAAGTCGTGTTTTAAAATAAAAGGTTTTAATTTGCTAATTTCAATAAGGTTCGTAATTAAAAACTTTTTTAATCGTCCTAAACATGGGGCATTTCCGTCTGATCATCATGATTCATGAATGCTTACGTTCTTCGTAAATTATTGATGTCAAAGTTTTATTTTGAAACTTATAACGTTTTTCTATAATAATATATCGTATTGACAAGACAAGACGTTTATTAATTACAGCAATAATCTTCATACATAGAAATCACAACTTTTGAGAAAAAATCAGAGAATAACAATTGAAGTGTTTTACGTATTATTTTTTTGGCTTTTGAAAAGGAATATTATTCTAGTGAGATTTAGGTGGCGTGTTGATTTACTTGCATCTTGATGTTTCTCTTTATTTTTCAAATTTCAGATTAATTATTATTTGCGTTAATGTTTGCTTTGAAGTCATTATTATAAAATAATTGAAATCGGCGAATAAATCGTAAAAAGTAGAACCAGCCGTGGTAAGTTTTAGAGTTGATTCAGTAAGTCGATAGAATCATTTCAATAGACTCGGTCGACGAATGATTTGCCATACAGCTAAATTTGAAGCTTTTATTGAAGTGAAAATTTCAAAATGTTTTGTATCAGTTACGACTCGGGCACGGCCCTTCTTATAAAATTACTTTGACTGACTCTACGGTTGATTTCATTATTCGTAATATTTTAAAAAAATTGAATTAAGTAGTAAAAATATTTTTTCACGAAAATAGTTATCGACTGAAGGGTGCACAATATTGATCGTAGAGTGTTGTCTTTTCGCTTATTTAAGTAAAAGCAATTGTTACGATAAAAGTGAATACTGCATCATTCATTTTTAAATTTTTTTTTAACTTGAATGTATTTCTAATATTTATTTCTAAAATCATAATTTTACTAAGAATTATAGTGTAGTTATTCTTCACATAAAAATGGGGCCTTTGCAATAGAAGGGGGAAGCTGCTAGAAAAAAATAAAAAATAAGTTAATGCTAAATTTTAACATATTTCAACCTGAAAATCATATTTGGTATATAAAAGTAAATTGATTTTTCCCGAAGTTTCCCCCTTTTACTATTGCAAATGCCTCAAATGTTCATAAGAATATTGTTTTTGTGAAAATCAATTACAGTTATACAATCAAATCATCATGTGTTTTTTTTTTCTCAAAGAAATTTTATTTTTTGCTAAAGTTAAATCGATTGAAGATTCAATTTATAGAAAAAAGCATTTTAGCAATTTCAAGAGATCGATGCTGACAGCTTTAGAAAGTTTATCGTGTAAATTGGAACAGTTCCCTCACGTTAAAGTCATTTGATAACTTTTAATAACGCCACTTTTAAAGAACTAATTATGTGGTATTTAGGATAATCTAATATAGTTTCGGTCAATTTTTGTAAGTTAATTAAAACCCTTTTATATTATCAATAAAAAAGTTTTTATAATTGAAATAATTTAAGCTCGAACTTCAACGCGAAGAGCATTGTAAAATATGCATGAAAATCGTGAAACATATCGCAATGGTGGCTTTTTTTTCTCACTAAGCTTTATCAAAAAAATTTTTTATACATTTCGAAATAACCTTTAGTTTGCTTTGTTAAAGGTAGAGATCAAGTTAGATCAGGTTGGTTTCGGGAGTAATTTGATAGTTAAATATAACTAAAAATTATTCACTGAATTATAGAATTTAAAGGTTGTAATTCAATTTAATAAAAAATATTAAAAGTATTTTATTACAATTTAATTTTTTTAAAAAAATTTGCAGTCCTCTTTGAAATTTCAATACTAATTAGCATTACCAATTACAGATATTTGCCAACTCTTTTTCGATCATTGATTCTATAAGCATATCTTCATTTATTACTTCTATTTCATCCTCCTCTTCCTGAACTTCTATTTCCTCTCCTTCACAACTTTTATCTTCTTCAGTAAGTGTTATAAAGCCTTTTTCTAATCGATTTAAAAAGGATTTAACATTTGTCATAATCCCTTTCTTATAGTATTCTTCACAATACCTACACCTATATTCTAAATATGTCAGGCAACCCCAATGATAACCATGACCACAAATTCATACTTCACCATCAAATATAGGATTATTTGCAATAAGTGGTTTATTGCAAAAGTCACAGTTATTTGGTGAAGGAGGATGTGTTGTATCAAATCCAGTTGGTAAGCATTTAACATCAACAATCGCATCAAGAGCAACTAGTTTGTAAAGAGGATAGCGCTTTTTTTCAATAATATGGCTTTGACCTTGTGTAATAAATACCTTTTGGAAATGATGGAGTAGAAATACTGTTGTTTTTTTGGTAAGATAATTTAAAGTTAAGGGTGTATATGGATATCTTTTTGTTTTGGAAAAGTTCTCTTTTAATAATTGTATTTTATTATTATCTAAAAAAAAAAAAATTATTATTTATTCTATTTAATTAATCAAATATTCTCTCTTGCCTATAATACAGGCCTGTGTAATAATACTCTCTACACTATCATGTGTATTTGTATTTGCTCTTATTTTGCTGTGCAGATTTTCAACAAAATAACCATTAAAATTTACAAGGTATAATTTTATTGCTTCTGCCATTGGATGTTGATTATTTTTCCAATAAAAATAATCTGACAAAAATGCTAATGGTGCCTTATTATAATTTTTTCTTCTCCATTTTAGTGCAAATGTCCAAAGGCGAAATATTATTTCTATATATTCATCCATCAAATGATCCAGAACGAAATGACAAGGCATAAATATCAAGTGTAGCAGGAATTATATTATCTAGTAGGTCTATTAATGTTCTATATTCTATATATTTACATGTATGCATAATTTTTGCATAATAATTTTTGATATTTGTTTCCATGCTTCACTTGTCAATTCTAATATTAAATCTATTCTCCATGGTTTAGGTTTTTTTGCAAAAGTTTTTTTTGAACCAAACACAAAGTGGAAAAGATTTTGAAAGAAGTCATGATGTAACATAATAGCTTTTTCGTGAAAATTTAAAGATACATGAAGTGGTCCAAGAATTGGAACAGAGCTATGTACATATGAAGAGATAGAAGATTGATTGCCTTGTAGATGAAGATGTGTAATTCTATACATATGAAAAGTTATCCAGGCCAATCTGTTACAATTAGTGCAACATTTAATAAAAGATATTTTTTTAATGAAGGAATATTAGCAATGTTTTGCATGGCTTTGAGAT